CATTTGCTTATCTACTTTTGTGTGATAAAGAGCTCATTTCTTTTTTTTCAAATATATTTTTATTGATTTCAGAGAGGAAGGGAGAGGGAGAGATAGATAGAAACATCACTGATGAGAGAGAATCACTGACCGGCTGCCTTCTGCACACCCCCTACTGGGGATCAAGCCCGCAACCCAGGCATGTGCCCTTGGCCGGAATCGAACCTGGGACCCTGCAGCCCGCAGGCTGACGCTCTATGCACTGAGCCAAGCCTAGAGCCAAGCTGGCTAGGGCCCTCACACACTTTCTTTAGGTTTCAGCTTAAAAGCACATTCCTCGGGGAAGCCTGAGGGAGTGAGCAGGTCCCCTCCTCTGCTCTCAGAGCACCCACATTCTTCCTCTGTAGCACCAATAGGCCATTATTTTCTACTGCTGGCTGCTCACTGCATCATAAGAGACGGAGCCCACGGTGGTATCCCTGCCCCACCACGACCCCGGCATCTGCACGAGCGGATGAGCTTAGAGCATCAGTAGCACATTCAACACGAAGGGCCTGGAGAGGGCTCACTACAGACCCTGCGCCACATCAGTGACCTCGGGGCTGCCTCCCAGCCGCATCCTGAATCGCCAGCTGGCAGGACTCAGGTGCAGAGCCGCCTAGGAGCGGAGCCCAGCTGCGCCACCCCCTTCCATCTGCAAACAAGAGGCCGCCCGCTGGTGGGCTGGATCCCCTGGCCGGCTCCATGGGCGCTCAGGGTGCTGTCTGAGGAGCACGCAGCGTTCCATACACGAGCCCTCCCAGCCCCACGGCAGCTGCAGCCGCAGCCACTCCTCAGTCTAGACCCCAGGTCCCCGGGGAGCCTGGCCAGACAGTCTGCTAGCCGACTCCAGGCTGCCCTGGCGCTTTCAGACTCCTCTCTGCGCCTAGGAAGGCTGGCCTGTCACTGCCCCCACAGAATTACCGAGAGCGACTGCTACTGCTGCGTCTGGCTGGAGCTACTCTCACCCCCAGTCAGTGACTGTCCCCCAGCCGTGAGCGACGCAGTGCCGCCTCACGCCACGCTGAGACGCACCGCGCAGTGGCTTCCTGTGCAGAGCACGGGGCCGGGGGGCTCCTGGAATGCTTCCTGGGAGCCCAGCAAAGCAGGGTCTGGGGGGAGGTTGGTTTGGTTTTGGGTTGTAACTAATTTGAGAGAGAGAGGCAGAGAGAGGGAGATTAAACATTAATGTGAGACGCATTTGTGGAATATAATGCACAACACAAACTGATGAACAAAAATAGATACAGAGACAAAAGCATCGAATAGACCGTCAAACCTCAGAGGGAAGGCAGGCAGGGAGGGGTGAGAGATCAGCCAAAGGACTTGCAGGCACGCATATGAGCATAACCGATGGACACAGACAGTA